CATAGTTACCAGGTTTACGTTAAGCCTATCTTACATTAATGTCAAACACCTTCCCCTTAAAGATTAAGGCGTACCCTAGGTTTAATTGTACGTCCGAATTTTGAAACATTACATTTCTTACTATCATTATTTTTTGAGCAGCTATAATGAGGACTTACAATATCAGTATTCCTATGTTCATTAAACAAATTTGTTAAATCATTATCCTGAATACATACATTATTTAAATCATTATTATCATTATCCTTATAACTATTTGGGTTTGTGTGTGGATACAACTCAGGTTCAAGATACATGTCTGCTACATCTGATTTTGTATGTGATGGTCTTATGTGTCTTGTGTTTCTTCTAACTATCCTATTATTGCATTCCTTTCTTATCCAGTACGATCTGGGTTCTTTAGCTTTTTCTACAATAACAGCTTTATACCATACTTTATTAACACTACTCTTAACAACTACATTATCCCCTCTTTTATAAGTTGTTGGTGTACGTTTACTATGTTTATCATACTGAACTTTTGTTTTTTGTTGTTGGTCCGATAACAGTTTATAAATCTCATTCTGAATTTTAGGTTGTAATTGTTCACAATTTACTGGTATTTCTATTCTCAAAGATCTACTATTTAATATTTGTGATGGAGATGCACTTACAATAGCAGTATTATTATATTCTAAAACTAACTCACGATAATCAGAGTTTTCTGTAAAACTTTTTTTTTTAATTTTTTTACAAATTCCTACAGCCTTTTCAGCAAGTCCATTACTTTGGTGGTAATGAGGTGAACATGTCAGGACTGTAATTTGTTTATTATCGTAATATTTTTTACACTTAAATGATATAAATGGTAAATTATCTATTATGGCTTCAGATGTTTTATTATTTAATGATAGCATCTTTATCCAATGGGAAAAATAATCTATTAGAATTAAGTAAGATTTACCACCAAATTCCAAAATATCAGCCGCAATTTGATTAAACCTCAATTTTGGTATTAAATGTGCTAACATTGGCTCTCTATAATTATTTGGCATGAATTTTTCACAAATTCTACATTTTTTTATAAACTGGACAATATCATCCCGAAGGTTAGGCCAAAAAAATAAAGATCTTGCTTTATTAATAGTTTAACTAGTTCCTATATGACCTTTATGTAACAGAGTAATCATTTCCTGTTTTAGAGATTTTGGTACAATTATTTTATTTTCAACAAAAACAATTCCTGCTTCAACATATATATCATTTTTAATACTGTAATATGGCTTTATATACTCTGGAATCTTGTTTCCTTTAGGCCAGCCTTTATAATAAAAATCAACAATTGTAGCCAAAACTTTATCTTTAAAGGTTTCTTCTCTGAACTGATATATTTTTTTATCTGTCATTGGTAAGTATAGTGAGACTGAATGAACCATATCAAACATCTCTAAATCAAGGGTTTGTGCCTTTAAACTAGCTCTAGAAAGCATATCTGCAAATTGAATATGCTTTCCTGGAACATAATAAATATTTAATATGTACTTTAATAATTTTAGCCTTAAACGCTGCAACCTTACTGACCTAATTTTGCATATTGGTTTCTGCATAATTGAAATTATTGGTTTATGATCTGTTTGGACATCAACATCACACTGGTAAATAAAGTTATGAAATTTTTGTGTACCATAAAAAATGGCTAATAACTCTTTCTCTGTCTGGCTGTAATTTATTTCATGTTCATTCATAGACCTAGATGAACATGCAACTAATTTCAACATACCATCATAGTTTTGAAACATACAACACCCAATTCCATTTTTGGATGCATCACATTGCAAAACTTTTTTTTTATTTGGATCAAATGGTACCAGAGCTGGAGAATTTGAAATTATTTTCTTTAACTTATCAAAACATTCCCGGTGTTTAGGCAACCATTGCCATTCTACATTGTTTTTTAAAAGTTCACATAAAATTTGCATGTGCTCAGCCATATTTTTAACATAACGTCTAATATAGTTAAAGGAACCTATTATTCTTTGTAACTCTAATTTACTTTTTGGAGTTTCTAATTTACATAAAGCATCTGTCCTCTCAGGATCTACTTTCATTCCTAAATGAGAAAAAATTTGTCCCATAAACTTTACTTCTTTTTTGCTAAATTGAATTTTCTCTTTATTAAATCTAGCACCCACCTCTTTTGTTCTATTTATCACCTCTTTTACCGCTTGATCATGTTCATCTTGAGACGCCCCTGCTATGATCATATCATCATGACAAACTACAATATTTTTAATATCACCAAAATGCTTTTCAACTGCCTCTTGGAAAAGGTCTTGAGAATTTGATAACCCAAAAGGTAAAACTAAAAACCTGTAAGTTCCATAGTGTGTAGAGAAACAACATTTCCATGAAGAATTTTTATCAATTGAAAGTTGGTGATAACTTTCAGATAAATCAAAAACAGAATATACATTTTTGTTAAATAATTTTTTAAACATATTTCCTCAATGGACTCCCCAACTCTAGGTTTGCGTACTATATGTTTATTCAGATCTGAGGGATCTAAACATATTCTTAATTTACCATTACTCTTTTCGACTATCACCATTCTATTAATACTTGCCCTGGGGTCTATGTTTTCTACCTTAACAATTGCTTTTCTTTGGACTAATCTATCTAGCTCAGTTTTAAGTGAATTTCTAATTTTTATTGGACACTTGGTAGGTGTATAGCAAACTGGTTCAAATTTATCATTTGTTGTAATTTCATATGTGCCAGGAAATTTGCCTGACCCTGTGAAAACTTCAAAATTTTCATTGATAAATTTATCTGTTAAATCAGACCGGCCTATCTTATTTATTTTTATAGAATCAATACGTTTTACCAAACTTAAATTTAAACATGTTTGTCCACATATCAGAACTTGACTTGCACCATCCACAATGACAAAATCTTCAAAAATATTCTTACCCTTACATTTTACATTTAAATTTACTACACCTATAGGATGAGACACATTTCCATCAAATGCCTTTAACACATATTCAGTAGGCCTGGTTTTAAATTGACAATTAAATTTTTTATAAACATTTAAAGGAATAACATTTACATCTGCCCCTGTGTCTAACTTAGCTTTCAATTAATAATTTTCAACCTCTATATACTCTTCCCAAGTGTCTATCAAATCAACATTACATACCTTTTTCCTGCTGTTAACATTTCTTACAACAAATTCATTAGAAGAGGTTGACTCACAATCATCTTTTTCAGTACTTTTAATATTTTTGACCTTGCAGGCAACTCCATAATGGTTTTTTAGTCCACACTTGTTACACTTCTTGCCATGAGCTGGGCATTCCCTCGGACCATGCTTTTTTGCACATCTTCTGTATAAAAAAACTTCTTTTTCAACTTCTTTCTCTTCATTCCAAGGTTTCTTCTTTATATCATATTTCTTTTTCTCTATCTTCTGTGTATGATTAATATTTCCTGTGTTATATTGAAACTGTAAATTTTGAGATCTACTTTGCTCACTTGTTCTGCAGAATTCTATAGCTTTATTTAAACTTAATTTGTCTATTCGCAGGAGGGCTTCTCGTGTGGTCAAATCCCTAATTCCCATAACAATTTTGTCTCTTAATGCCTTGTCTTCACATGACTCATCGGGATCTAGGGCATTGTAATTGCAACTTCTAACCAAATGTCTGCACTCTGTCAAAAAATGTTCAAATGTCTCCCTATCTTGGGTTCACATACTTATCTAACAGCTGCATTGTGAATTCATACTTATTTAGTTCTTCATCAGGGATAACAAAAGTAGCCCTAATCAATGCTGATTCATGGCCAATAATATTTCGCAGGATGGATAATTTCACCTGATCTACAGCGTCGTATTGTCCTGTTGCTACTAAATAATCTTCGAATGAAATTTTCCAAAATTTCCATTCAGAAGCAGCACTCTGACCCTGGAGGTCGAAATCTTGGGGTAACTTAACATAACCTATTCCATTGACCAAGCTTGCCATTTTGGGAACACTTAAATTTTTCTTTTTAATAAACTTAGCACTTAACTTTATCCTTGGACACGTAGATTCCATAAATTGACTGCGCCATGTTTAAAGTATGTTAATAAGGTCTCAATTAAACTACTGTATTGGCTGAACATATATTAATAATATTCATACATTACAACATGATCATGTCGCCCATTGTCCCCGTTGGGAAGTGGTGTTGACTTGACATTGACATATTTGACATAGTTACCAGGTTTACGTTAAGCCTATCTTACATTAATGTCAAACAGTAAGTATTTGGTCGTGCATTTAGTTTACTTTCAATAAGCACCAAATTATGATTTTATATCTTTGTTATTTAAAAAAACATAAATGATGTATGTTCTAATATGATTTTCCCTCATAATTTACTATAGAATCACTAACAGGGTAATTTTACTGTCATCACGGCGTGTGTTTGTCTTTTTAAAGACAAATAATATGCTATGATTTTTTCTGACGGATATTCTCAAGTTAAAGCTGATTTCATGTAATCGAATGAACTATATTACAAGTAAAGTCGTCCCAGGAACGCAAATCAACAATATTGGCAATATCATTTTAAAGTCATCTACTATAAAATGTATAATGTATGTATGTATGTTTTTATTGTCAATATAAATGAGTCAGATAAAATTAAATTAGAAGAATTCACCAAGTAACAAAATTATTGTTAAACACACTGTTGAGATAAAATATTGTTTTAAATTATTAATTTTTATTAACCTGCGGATTACATATATATATATATATATATATATATATATATATATATATATATATATATATATATATATATATATATATATATATAAATAAATATATATATATATATATATATATATATATATATATATATATATATATTATTAATAAATTTTATTATGTAACCATATTTTTAAAAATATTTGCCTTTGCGTTAACTATGTACTTCACTCTTTAAATAATCTTATCATTCGTTTACTGTATAAATAACTACCGGTATAAATCTAAAAATCATATCAAGTATTTAGTTAGTGTAATATTTCGTAAAAACAATGGAGTCCCCAGTGGTTACCGTAACAGAAGGTCAGCTAAGAGGTTATCGCAGGAAAAATTTAGATGGAAAAGAGTTCTATGCATTTTTAGGAGTTCCTTATGCTAAACCACCTGTTGGGAAGTTGCGATTCCAGGTAAACATATGCTTGTAAATTCGTTAAAAATAGTTCGTTAGAAAATATAATTCGTTTTAGCATAAGAGCAGCAAATAAATAAATAAATTATTTAATAATTTAGATTTAACAGTGTAGCAGGTTTTATATCTTTGTTAAAATCTGCACATTAATGGCGAAACATATATAATGCTAAAAATTTTTATTTATTTTTTGTTATTTATGTTTATGTACGTTATAATAGAATTAACATGTAAAAACAGAACTTATGGGCAAAATATATGACAAGACTCTGGTGGTAAAATTTTAAGTGATATTAAAGATCGCTGTACCGAATGGGATAATTACTTAATAGACTTACTTAGCGATGACCAAAAAATCTACCAAAAAATAACATCTAACCGAGATACAGGCCCACCGATTCTAATCTCAGAAGTTGAGAAGGCTATCGACCAAGCGAAACGAAGGAAGGCTTCTGGTCATGACGAAATACATGCAGAACTGTTAAAACTATTAGATAATGAGAGTGTTGCGATTATCACATCCTTCTTTTTTAAAGAGATATACAGGAGCAGCAAATTACCAGAAAACTGGTTAGAATCGATATTTATAACTATTCCCAAAAAAAAAGAATGCCAGACAGTGTAGCGACTATCGACTTATCAGTTTAATAAGTCACACGCTCAAAATTTTTATGAAAATATTGCATTGTCGCATATATAAACTTTGTGAGGGGATAACTGGTAATGAGCAGTTTGGTTTCTGAAACGGTATGGGTACTCGAGAAGCTCTTACAAAAAGAGCATTGAGTTTAGGAAAAATATTTACGTATGTTTTATAGATTTCGAAAAAGCCTTTGATAGAGTACCACATACATTATTATTTCAATGCTTAGACTCAGTTGGTCTGGACACGTATGACATTAGATTGCTCAAAAATCTTTACTACAATCAGACTGCTTGTGTTAAGGTGACCAAGAGGTTTCAGCTAAAGTTTCTATTAAGCGTGGTGTCAGACAGGGATGTGTTATCTAACCGATGTTGTTTAAACTAAACCAGTTTTTGAAATAGCGTTAAATAATCGCCGCGAAGGTGGTAAGATCGGTAGTGAAATTATTAATAACATCAGATACGCCGATGACACCGCATTAATGGCAGAGAGTCTAGAAGATCTCCAAACCCTGTCGAATGCTGTAAACAACGAATGCACTGAAAATATCTTAACAATCAACGCAAAAAAAACCAAAATGGATGGTGTTCGGAAAAATTAATCTCGAAGACTTAGTACTAAGATTAGATAACAAAATCCTGAAAAGGGTGGAACACTTTAGATGTCTGGGTAGCTGGATTGACTGCAGGGTTAAAAGTGACGAGGAAATTTCGATCAGAATAGAACTTGTACGAAAAAACTTTACTAACTGGCGTTCTGTATTATGCAGTAGAAATCTGTCGTTGACCACACGTCTAAGAGTATTGAAGTGCTACGTCTGGTCCACTTTGTTCTATGAATGTGAAACCTGGACAAAAAAAAATAAAAAATCAATTCTAATAACAAATTAGAAGCGTTTGAGTTATGGTGTTAACGCCGCATGCTCAGAATCCCTTGGACAGCACACATATCAAACGAACGTGTGCTGGAGACCGTGCACAAAGAGCGAGCATTGATCAACATCATCAAAATGAGAAAGGTCCAATACTTCGGTCATATAATGAGAAGACCTAAATATCGCTTACTCTGGTTAATCATTTAGGGCAAACTCGAAGGAAAATGTTGGGTCGGAAAAAAACAACTGTTCTGACTGCGTAACATAGTAAGATAAAGTAGAACAAATAGAGCAAGTAGAACAAGTAGAACAAGCAGAACAAGTAAAACAAGTAGAACAAATAGAACAAGCAGAACAAGTAGAACAAGTAAAACAAGTAGTACAAGTAGAACAAGTAGAACAAGTAGAACAAGTAGAAAAACTAAAACAAGTAGAACAAGTAGAATAAATAAAACAAGTAGAACAATTAGAACAAGTAGAATAAGTGGAACAAGTAGAACAAGTAGAACAAGTAGAACAAGTAGAACAAGTAGAACAAGTAGAACACGTAAAACACGTAGAACAAGTAGAACAAGTAGAACAAGTAGAACAAGTAGAAAAAATAGAACAAGTAGAACAAGTAGAACAAGTAGAACAAGTAGAACTAGTAGAATAAGTAGAACAAGTAGAACAAGTAGAACAAGTAGAACAAGTAGTACAAGTAGAACAAGTAGAACATATAGAACAAGTAGAATAACTAGAACAACTAGAACAAGTAGAACAACTAGAACAAGTAGAACAAGTAGAACAAGTTGATCAAGTAGAACAAGAAGAACAAGTAGAACAAGTAGACCCGACGAGCTAGAACAACTGTAGAGAATCACCACATAAAGTGAAGAAAATAAAAGAGGATACACAAAAGCCAAAAACACAATCACTTAAATACACAACTTAAATATATAGAAAACCTTAACAGAGAGAATGATTTAAAGCATTATATAAGAAAAAGCAACATTAACAAAAAAGAATTAAAAGCATTAACAAGACAATTTAGAAGTCAGAATGATGACCTAATAACAACAAACAAAAATTTATTGAATAAATAGGTAAAATACTTTAACCAGGTTAAGCGCCTTAAGAGGAGTTATGAAAGAAGAAGAAGAAAACGTAAAAGGCGAAAGTTATGGGATTTCTTTTGATAAACATCCTTGCGGAGTGTCTCCCAAAATATGGTACTATCTCCTCATCTATTGAAGAAATAAACGAAAATTCACACATTTGTCTGGTTTTTCTATTATACTGTTATCTGATAAATGCATGTTTTGACAAATACTACGAAATCTATCTATTCTCCAATATAAATCCATGTATGATAAGGCGTCGGATTTAGTAATATTATAATGCTTATAAATTTTTTGGTCGGTAATTTTCATTGTAAGCATTCATCGGTAAACATGCCGATTGCTGTCCCAGGTATATTTCAAATTTCAAATTGTGTCCAAAACTTCATTTAAAAAATAGTTAATCTTTAACCCCTATACATATGTATAATTCACATCAAATACTTAAAATAGAAAACATGGTTACCACATACAGCGACGACAACAGCTGTTTTTGACTTACATTTTTGAAGTAAGATGAAGGAGGAAGCTCGAATATACGGAAATAAATCCGAGAGCGACCTCTGTATTTAAAATTATTAATTAAAAATTGAAAATGTCTAAACTGACGTCTGAAGGTTATTGATTATTACTTTTAGTTACTATAGAATTTAAATTTAAATATTTTAAATTGATAAGTCAACGTGAAAATTTAAAATATACATTTATCAAAAATATCAAAAAACAAAACTTTTAAAGTTTAACCAAGTAGAAGAAAGTAGATGAAAACGAATCAAGGAGAAGTATCATTTGCTAAGTTAAGAGTTTTATAGCTATTATTGATTATCAATATTATGAATAAAATAAATAAAGAATAAGAAAAATATCAAACATTTTCTACTTAGATGAAATCAATGAAAGAAAATTCAAGAAATTTGTTTAAATTTTTTTTTTAAATAAAGGTCAAAGCTTGATCAATCGATGGTTAATTGTATACTAAATGTATTATTAAAGATTGGATCAAACTTACAATTTAAGTTAATTTGAGTGTTGACACAGTTCTGAGGATTCCTTTTCATTTCTCTACTGATTTCAAGATCTTCTAGTAAATTCATTTTTATATAATTATTATTGGGTATACTGTGTAGGATCTTGCTATCTCTATGAGGACTAAAGCCATGCTTTGAAGCATGTATATGATTTCCAAAACTAGATTTATGAATCTTAGACAGATGTTCTTTAATGAGTATATCCAAAGGTTGCATTGTTCTACCCACATAGGTCACCGGGCATTCACCACAGGATAATTTATAAATACCACTTTTTGACGATTTGTTGATTTTGTCTTTATTTTTTTATATTGACGTGACTTGTAGATAGTTCATTTGGATATATTTTGCTGTCAATAAGGCTCTCGGGCATTAACTTAAACGTTTCGTACGTGGTTTAGTACATCATCTCATTTAATAAAATTAGACGTCACTTACTCTAACCGTTTGAATCTTGTAGTATTTTTTAAATAGATAAATCAGTACATAGTACTTACCTTCCAACAAATTTTTGTTTAAATTTTCTTCTTCAGTTATCAGTCTGTGTGTATGTTTTTTTACAAGATAACTTATAACTTCTAAACAGTTTTGTAACCTCGGAAACCTTTTTTGGATGGTGCTAGGTCACCAATGTAGACATTGCGGACGGCAGCCAGATGGTTGGTGGAGAGCGAGTCGTGGGTTCGAAACTAGCTTTTGAAACCGAGAGTGGATCCGACGGACGAAATAAGTAAAGATAAGACAAGATAAAATATATGGAAAAATATATAGAAATAGACGAAAAGCTAGATAGGTAAAATTACCAAAGATGAGATAAGATAGAAACAGGGAGCGACTCAATTTTTTGGGGTTTAAGAAGAAAATTAAGAAACCTTAGAAAAGTAAAATGGCAAGGAAAGATATTTAAGTTCCGAGATCAAACCCAAGAAAAGATATTAACAGCTAATTATTAAATAAATTTGGTCAACACACTATATAAACCAATAATAAATATATTAGGTATTATACCTACTTACCTACAAAACTTAATCAGTCTGATCTTTTTTCTGGTCGAAGGTATAATAATAATTAAAGGTAAAAAGCAAATATTCAGAGTTATTGTTATATCAGGAAACTTGTTAGGAGTCGACAAATAAAATGCGTACATAAAACAAAAACAGTATATTCAACAACAAAACGACATCGGTAGCTGAATATACACACAAGATAAAAATACACCATCAATTATGAAATGTTGGTATACATATAAAAATAAGCAGTAATATAATTAGAAAATACTTATATAAAGATATATAATACAATCATGCGCAAATAAACTGTTGTGGGCGTATCTCCAGATATTACAAAAAA